GCAGCAAATCATGGCTGGTCTATTTTATCTGTCAATCAAATGGTAATTTTCTTAATGTTTGTTACCATAGCACCCTCAGCCTGTGCTCCTCCGCTGCCTCTGTTTTCTGCAGCTTGGTTCACTGTTACAGGTAAGCAATCAAGGATTTCTCCAGGGGACTCTGGAATGAGGCGAGGGAGTGTGGAGAGGGAAGCCCACGTAATTACCACAATGACGGGCTGACATCGTAGAATCCAAAAACGACTTCCACCCCCTCACTTTAAAGATGAAGCAACTGAGTTTCTAAAACAGCAGTGCATTATGCGAACTGAGCTTGCAAACCCAACAGAACCCACCTTGACAAATTTTAGCTCAATAATGCCTAACATTAAATGACATGTTTCACCCTGACAGCACCTCAGAATTTCTTTCCAATTAATTTTTAAAACATTTCTTTAGTCACGTGTCAGTTTTATTCTTTAACAGAAAAAAAAAAATCAAGAGCAAGCTCAGGCAAAGTGTCTTTCCTTTTATCTCCTAAGACAGAATTGGAATTAAATATATGCACGGGGATGCGCTTGTCATCAAGATCCGTGGTTAGAACATTTGGTCATGACCTTCCGTAACATCCTCAATCAAAAGCATTCTATAGTAATGGACATGCATTCTCAGATATTTCATTTTTTAAAGGAAGTTCCTGGGTTACTGAAGGATCATAGGTACACAAAGTAGCAGATGATCAAAAAAATATACATTTAAAACTTTCTAATTTGGTACATGGTGATGTGAGCACCATGAAGAAATGATGCACGAGATACTAAATTTAATATGTGTGACCAAAATGGTAAAAAACCTCCTGATCATTTACAGAAATTGTTCACCGATTCCAAGGGCTGATATTCCCTTTTTTTGTGAATAATGGGAATCCTAGGTATCAGTATATAGCCAATAAGACAATGACAGGAAGAACTCGAGGTCCTCTAAGATTCTGGGTGCAGAGGACTCTAAGAAAAGGAATCACCACGCCACTGGTTTGCCACTAAGGAGAAGCACCTAGAAAAAAACTGATGCTCACATGGATAGTGTCTGTCATCTCAGTTATGTGCTTACAGAATACTTTTTTTTGAGGTCAATAAGAAAATTAAGTGAAGAATCCTCAACATCCTAGAGGGAATTCTCCATCCTTCTGGAAGCTGTGAATTGGATGCAGTTCAAATAGGAAAACCATTATAATTAAATTTGTTGAATTTGAAGGAAACTCCACCTATTCCTTTAATTCTTAGTGAGAAATGATTGCACTTTTAACATCTAGAGTGGAAATCAAATGCTTTATGATTTTTTTCAAAAAGAAAAATTGCTGGAGGCAAGATGAAGGTCAAGTTACTTGGTGAATTCTTTTTGATGGAACTGTGTTTAGCGATCGTCATTGTGCCTAACTCAATGAGGAGGACATCCAACAGAACTACCTGTGAACATGTGAAGTTGCTATGAGTTCACCATCCAACCTAAGGCCATCCAGGTGGCCTTAGGTTATCAGCAGCCAACTGGGAAACTAGAAAAAAGACTCCCAGTTCTCTTCTGTGTTTACTCTGGTCCTTCCTGGGTACAGAAGACATTTCATGCAAAATGCATAAAGGTACCTGAGATGGCTCACATTTAATTGCAAACTTATTTATAATGTAAACTATGTAAAAATCCATGTACATTTGTAGAAGACGGACATCCAGAAATGTGCAACTTAAAATCTGGGAACAAAGTATATGCGTGCATGTATTACTAGGCTCCTTAGAAGCATGACAAGCCACTCCACAGTTTAGCCAGTGGTCTTCTGAGAGCTGTCCTCTATTCTAACATTATCCAAGATGAAAACCATTCTGGGGCCCATGTCTGGGACTCTTATAAGCAATGGGCAGGCAGCTGTGATGGACAGGAGTAGAAATCTCCTTGCTTAGGTCCAGCAGTGCACTCTTTCATTTCTTTTTCCTTTTGAGGTAGGGTCTCGCTATGTTGCCCAGGCTGGAGCACAGTGGCAGGATCACAGCTCACTGCAACCTCCAGCACCTGAGCTCAAGCAATCCTGTATCTGCCTTCCAAATAGCTGGGACTACAAGTGCACACAACTGTGTCTGGGGACTTTTTTTATTTTTAATTTTTTGTAGAGGAAAAGTCTTGCTATGTTGTCCAATCTGGCCTCAAACTCCTGGCTACAAGCAATCCTCCCACCTCAGCCTCCCAAAATTGTGGGGATTACAGGCATGAGCCACTGCATCTGGCCTCAGCAGTGCACTCTTAAGGGACACCTGTAACGGATGGTAAGAAATGATGGCTGCTAGTTATCAACATGGATGAGAATTCTTCAAAGTGACATAGGTCACACCTTAGAAAAGAAGATCAATATGAAAATTACTGTCTTTTTCTGTCAGATTGTTTTACAGAACTTCAGGGCAAAATGACTTCAGAATTTATCCTGTATATTTTCAAGCAATTTAAACATAAAATGAACATTAACCCAACTGAAAGTGACATAAGAACCACTGTTCTTAGGTTTCCAAATGTTCAGTGATGAGATTATCCTAGGGGGCCTCTAACAGAGATGCCATTTTTCTCTGGATCTGATGAAAAATCTCTTTTTTCCTGCCACTTTTCCGTAATGATGTAGTTATGGCTATGAAGAAGCTGTCTTTACCAAACTCGAAAACAATGAAAACTGCAGACTGGATTCTCTGCCTATGCTGTGAAGTGAGAGATTTAATTCTACCCTGGCATTCTGAATGTGTATGGAGGAAGGGGGTGAACATTTAAACACGTATTTCAGATTCGCAAGTACAGATATGTGTAGGAAAAAGATATAAGATAAACGCAAACACCTCACCCTTCATTTGGGTTTTTTCTCTACTTTGAGAACTTGGTTCGAAAACTATTGTTCTTCTCTAGGACAAAAGCCAATGTGAGTGTAACTGCATAAATACAACCTGTACATAAAAATCCAATAGCTTCTCTGAAGTCCTAATGTCACAGACACCTCACTGTTCCACAATAAAACAATGAAGGCCTTATCTTCATAGTTACTTGTGGAATGTTCTATGCAAAATTCAATATGAATTAATAGCCTGTGTCTGGTGAATTTTGTCTCAAACTCAAAGCAAGAAAATATTGATTTCCTCCTTCCCTCTTTCCCTGATTCCTTCCTTCCCTCTTCCCTCCTTTCTACCCCTCCTCCCCCTCCAGCAAAGAGGAGCTACATAAAAAATGACTTGAGCATCAATTCAGTAGAATAACACGTAGGCCTGTGAAATCATTCTACATTTCACTTTCCTGTGTGCAACGGCTATAGCTGGTTAAAGACATAATTTGCCCTTCTCCCTTATCTGTAATCCTTGCAGCAAATCCACATGGGGGCGGGTTTGGCCACTGCACTTTCTAATTTACTCGTGAAGGGGTGGTGCCTCCGAGAGAATGCACAATAGAAACAGGATGAAGGCCGAGGCGCCTGACCTTCAGTCACGTGTTCTTCCCACAAGCTTGGGCAGCGTAAGAAATACTAAAATGACGAGTTAATGGGTGCAGCACACCAACATGGCACATGTATACATATGTAACAAGCCTGCACGCTGTGCACATGTACCCTAGAACTTAAAGTACAATTAAAAAAATAAAAATAAAAATACTAATCCAGGCCGGGCACGGTGGCTCGCACCTATAATTCCAACACTTTTGGGAGGCCAAAGCGGGCAGATCACTTGAGGTCAGGGGGAGACCAGCCTGGCCAACACGGTGAAACCCCGTCTCTACTAAAAATACAAAAATTAGCCAGGTGCGGTGGTGCATGCCTGTAACCTCAGCTATTCAGGAGGCTGAGGCACGAGAATTGCTTGAACCCGGGAGGTGGAGGTTAAAGTGAGCCAAGATCACACCATTGCACTCTAGCCTGGGTGACAGAGCAAGACTCCGTCTCGAAAAAAGAAAAAAAAAAAAAAGAGAAATACTCATCCAGTTCAGTTCTTATGGGGAGCTTTGGTGGACGATCTCTCGATAGCTTATCACTTAGAACAGTGCGGCTAATGAATACATATGTAAATAAGTGATGCACAAATAATTTGATAAATTCTCATTCGAGCATCTTAATATGTTACTCTGTTTTAGAGGAGTTTGGTAAGTCTAATGTCAGAAGAGAATTTTCATGTACGCATACGATAGTGTTTTATCCTTGCACTTGAAAACGAAACATGCTACAACTCGAGCCACATAGTGCCAGGGACATCGTATAGCATTATCATTACAAAAAGAGAATGCAGAGCTACAACTCGGATTATCACACCACCCTGGCAAAGGATCTTGTTCTCGCCATCTAATTATCATTTTATTAAAAAAAAAAAAGGCTCTTGTTCTGTCTAAATTATGTAATGCTTATAAATGTCCAGAAAAGGATGCTGATATTGGTGTTTTGTCCAGTCTGACTCATTTGCTGAAAGAAGTAAATATTGTTTAATGGATAGGCTTGTTGTGTGGCTCTAATAGACACACACACACGTAGAATTTAGGCAGATATTTTTAAAGCTCTTAATACTTTTTACAGATAAAATCACATAAAAATTCTCAGAAAATTTAAAAAAAAGAAAACAGGCAAGAGAACATCAACTTCTGACTAATTTGAAAAGCATAATTTCACTGATCTTAGCACGTCTTCTGTTCTTACGGAATTCAAAGGCAATGCAGGCAGAATCTCACCTACGCTAGGTCACATGTAAGTATATCTAATGATTGCTAATATTTTGCCATCAGATTTCTTCTTTTACACGGTGAATAACTGTGGTCTCAGTTACAGATAGACCACGTGGCACAGAAGCTGAATCATTTCCAGAGCAGTTGAGGGGAGCTTTGGCTACTTCTATTAGTGAAAGTGCGGAAAACTACCATGTTCAAGGTTATATCAGTGAAAGGAAACGGCAAAGCAAACAAACATGACACAAGAAAGCAAAACCACCGGAGGCTGGTGCACAGACTCCCACCCGGCACCGTACCTGTACAGATGAAACTGGAGAGGCCTCCGTAGATGACTTCATCATTGTCGGGCAATATAAATGGACACCTCGTCTGAACCTCCAAACAGTATTGCTTGCAAGGAATTGTCTTTCTGCAGTTAAACTGTGTGACTTCAAAGTACTGGGAACAGAGCCAGGCTTTGTAGACAATCTGAAAAAAAGAGAAGAATGAAAAATATAGAGGCGTGACAACAGAATGACAGAGGCACTGTGAGACGCGTGCAAGCGTGCTGTGGTTGCAAGTGGATCCTAGGAAAGCCCTCATTGCGAGAAAGCGTATTTACACAACGACAGCTCCAAGTGATAAAAACACAGCAACGAAAGTCTCCGCAATAAAAGCAAAACAGCACTTGATTGAGTCCCTAATTGAATGTAAAAGGTATTTTGGCCTTTAATTTTATGCGGCTTATTTGAAAATCAGTGGATTTAAACAGGAAGTTAAATTTTCAAAATCCAGGGATATCTAAAGTAAAATAAATAATTGACCCTGTTGCTTGTGCTGTGGTTACTTGCTGCAGTGTGGCTGGTCAGCCAGTTCCCTCCGCATGAGTCCCACGTCTATGCCTCCATCGGACACTAGATGGCGCGAAGCACTTTACAAAGAGGGCCCAGCAGGGGTTGGGAAACTGCTGTTTAGATCTTGGACCTTCAGAGGCACAGAACAGGCAGAAATGGACATTTACATGCATGACTCACGCCAGATGCATTAAAAATCTCACTGTCTGAAAGACCGGAAACACCCAACGTAGATCAGACATCACATGCTGTGGTGTGGTTGGGAGTAGGAGGGAAGCCGCCTCAGAGCCACAGCTTCAACCTTCTAGATGAGGTGCCAGCCTCATGAATGTTTGCTACGTATTTACATACTTTCATCAACTGTGAAAGGACTGGGACTTCATTCATCTCTTTGTTTTGGTGGCTATTTGGGAAAACAAACATTGAAAAAATTGCCTTTTTCTGACACGTAGGAATAAGTTGATCTTAAATTCAAACAAAACAATGGCAGATGTACCCATTTGCAGTACAGGTCGCTGAAATTCAGTTATTCTCCAGGTCCTTGGCACTAATGGCTTTTATTTATCTATTTCTAGGGTTAATATTATCCAAGTAACATTTTGCTGGTTATATTTTACCTAGAAGAATGGAGGTGCTGCACTTAAGAGATTATAAATACTTAATAGTAACAAGAATAATAGTATTTACTTTAGATATCACTGGATTTTGAAAACTTAACTTCCTGATTAAATCTACTGATTTTCAACTAAGAGATTATAAATACTTAACAATAACAAGAATAATACCTACTATTTATCAACTTTATACTCTTTTCTAAGTAAGTTGTAAACTTTTTTTTCCATTTAATTCTCAGCATGCAGTTTTGAACATAACTATTAGTCACATTTTGCACAGGAATAATATTAAGTAATAATAATATTAGGTAATGGAAGTGGAAAATCCAGACTTTAAATTCATGTTCTGTAAGACTCCAAAGACTGTGTTCCTAATAGTTATCCTATATTTAATCTGAAAACTACTTTTAAAGCACTTATGAAATCACAAGGGAGTTTGCAGATGAACCTAAAATCAGCATGGCCTTCCATGCCCCTGGTCAATATCCATTTGGTAGGAGGAGGATTGTATTTTCTTATTCATGACTTTTTATTAGGTTGATCAAGATGATGCTTTATTCTGTGATCAAGGTGCCTCGGTAGAGGTAAAATGAGATAAATATCAAAGTGAGATACACTTTTAAATGGCCAAAAGTAAGTTTTCTTTGCCAGTCATCAATGGTTCACAATTACCATGTAACTTGTCAGTAAAACATACAAATAATTAGAATTCTTATAGGTCTTTTGAATGAGCCTTCTCATAACAGTGTACACTGAAAAATTGCACTAGAAGAAAATGTTACGATAGCTGAAGAAACCTCTAAGAATTCTTATGCCAACTGGAAAACGGAGGTGGGCTGTGGCTGTGTGCCTCAGAGGGACAGCAAGAGATTGCCTCGGGGGACAGGTGAAGGTGGGGGTGGTGCTGGCAGCAAGAGGCTGGAAACACCAGCTTCAGAAGAAAAAATGAAATGATTTCTTAACCAAACCGTGGGGAAGTTGAAAATGTTTGTCAAAATGCCATGGACCTTGATGTTTGTGTAATATGACATGATATGTAATACGACATGACATTTCGTAAACTAAGCTGTAATATAAGAATGAGCCACGTATACTCTGATTCCTGGGCTTAACGACCTTTCTCAGGTACTAGAGGAAGCAGGAGAGGCTTATACCTGCAGTTCAAACAATAACATTCCATTATGAGGACAGCTTGCTTTCCGCACACTTCTGGGATTACCTGTTTTTCTTTAATGAATGCCCTATGTAATTCCAGAAAGTGGCTCATGTTTTCGTTGGCCAAATTGTGGTCCCCATGCCCACCGCTCCCCTACAGCTTGCCTTTCCACAGTTATTCCAGTTAAAATGGGTTCTGAATAGGGAATGGTGTCCTGTAGCCATAAACTTAAGAAACAATGTCTCGTCTCTCGCAGACGGTGGGGCATCCAGTATTGGAGTCTCTTCAGATCTACACATCCTCTTTGCAACCACTTTCCTCAGCACTGCCCAATGGGAACAGATCCATTTTTTTTTTCTGGTTCCTTAAATTCTATTTCCACTATATTTCCTTTGCAGATTTTTTTTAACTCCAAAATAAAGAAAGAAAAGAAAAAGAAAGAAGAAAGAAAGAAGAAAGAAACTAGTAAGAGATCGCAGAATTTTTTTTTTTTTTAAAGTATCAGGTAGTAGTAGTTATGAAGAAAAGTGATCGATCGTCATTTGCAAACCCACCGGCAGAATCCCAGACCTTATACTCTGAGCTTTAACGACCTCTCCAGCCAGGCTCCATTGTGGCATCCATTATGAGCTACCTCCTGGGCTTTGAGTGTGCAATGAAGATTCCTCATTTGAGTATTAAATATTTTCTAAAATTTTAGCTCTAGGGATAAGATACATCAGAAAACAAGTCGGGGAAACCATGTGAGCTGAGTCGAAATCCGAAGGATGGAGGAGAAATATTTTATTGCTACTTAAGAGATTAAGGCTGAGAAGCAGATGTTATATAACCAAAGGATTTATCTTCTCCGTGTAGATGTGTTTACGATAAAAGAGGCAAAGCATACAGCACATTTGCTAAAATATTTCAGAATACACTGGAAAAAGCGTGCATGGGAAGCAAAAAATAAAAATAAAAAAATTCTAGAATGTTGAAAAGTGACATAGCATGTTAGTAAAAACCTGAAAACTGTGTTATGTGAAGAACAGAGAATACCTGAGAATTTACTGTGGCTAAGAGCAAATGAGGGGTGAGGATCTTACAGTTATCTCCAGTGTCTGAGAACCGGCTATGTGCTGATGACAATGGCTTTAAACAGTAAATTGTGGAATCAGAAGATAAAAACAAGAGGAAAAACAAACAGGTAGCTATCAGCATGATATAAAGATGAGTTTTCCCGCCAAAAGAGATGCACAGAAATAAAACGAGCTATCCTCAAAGGTGCCGAGTTCTCTAGAACTAGAAAAATTCCAGTAGACTTTCAATAACTCTTGTCAAAACATGGTGAGGAGGAGTCCTGTGTTAGGAAGGTGAGCGAAGGCCATGGCTCCAAGACAACTCCCAATGTCTTTCTAGAAGGTTTTGCAGGAAGGGGTTGAAAAGGATGTTTTGTGGTGGCACTGGGCTAAAATAACAAATTGACTAAATCTTAAAAGTAATAAAGAACTTTCAAACGAAAGCACATCGTGAAAAATGAGTATACTTGTCTTATTTCATAAGAACTATGGAGTATAAAGAAGGTTAGAAATCTTTTTTATAATGGCTTGGCCTTCTCCTATAGAGAGAAATATTAGGTAAATTGCTTTTCTATGTGTCACTGCAGAGTATAAATAATTATATGAAATGAAAGAATAATTGTGGGAAGGAATAAAAATGTGTGCGAGGTCTCTGGTGACAGAGTAATGGCTCACCGACATCCACCCCCTCCCCCCTTGATGACCGGTGCCTCCTTCTATCCAAGAAGCAGCTTGATTTGTCAGGAAATTATGCTTTGAAAGCGTATTTCAAATGGCCCACAGCCCCCACCCTCCTCCACCCTGTCCTCTGGAAATGACTATTGACCGTCACAATCTTTGCTGGACAGCTGCCCACCATACAGTGTTTTCAAGGTGCCGCCTGGAAGAGGAGCAGACTACGCTAGAAAAATAGCCCCAATGACAGCATCATTTTCACTTAATACTTGAATCGATTTTTCTCTTTTTCCCCTGAAGCATTTTCTCTCTTGCTATCTTTCCTCATAAAACCCTTGAGACTTGTTTGGGAAATGTTTTACAAATAAGGAAACGTATACAGGGAAATCAGGCAGCAAATAAGTGCAATTCAACTCTCTCCACAGCCCAGTCCATAGTTTTTTTCAGCGGAAATTCTTGTAACAGGAACTCTTCTGAGAGGACAGAAAGCGAAGGGAGCCTTGGATACGTCGGGGTCTCTGGAGTCACTAAGGTGAGACGTTCTGGGGTGGAAAGCCTCAGAGACCACCTAGCTGAGCCTCTGTTAACGCTGGAAGTGGGGCCTAGAAAGATGCAGATGGCAGCTGAGCAAGGTGAGGCCTGGACGCCAGATGCCCAGGGCCCCTGGGCACTGTGGAAATGGCACTCTGTGTTATTCGGAAGGCATCACCTGAGTATTATTCATTCCGAACATATCCTTTTTTCTTTTTCTTTTTCCCAAGTCACTTCATTTTGAAACTCACTTGCAGTTCTGCAGAGCGGGCTGTATGAGCCCCCACCTCTCCCTCCAGACTGATGTCCACGTCTTCCCTGCGTTCGCTTCAGCTGAGAATCCCTCGGTCACCCAGGCCTGTTTGAAGAGGTGATCGGGGCAGCAAAGGCTGAAGAGACCAAGGAGAACCCAAGAGAGCTCATCTAGAAAACTCATTTTCACACTCTTAATGAAGTTTTTTGGGTTTTTTTTTGTTTGTTTGTTTTGTTTTTTTATTTTAAAGCTTTGGTTATAACAGCACAGCCTCGGGAGACAGACCGAGCAGAAGTACTTTGCTTCCCGATTACAGGGAGTGATGTGAAGCCACGAACTCTAGAAAGAAAT